ACTAATTTTAAACTGATGGACTAGTGGGAACTAACGGACTAATCAACAGCAATCACCGCCAACTCTAGAACTTATCTAATTGAAATGTCATTTGACTGTCACTCTTATAACACAGCAAGGTCGAGACCAATTTTGTGGCAACAAAATGTGAACCCTGGACACTCGGATTCACAGATCGGCATGTTAAGCAATAAGCCATGCTTGGCACACCCGTTCACTAAAACTGAACAGTGCTTCTTCAAGATCACCTGTGGAGATCAAATCCAACAGTTTGGCCAATTCTGACTTGAATTCAAAAGAAAAGTTACAATTCATAAAATGATATATTTATTATTAAGAAGTTGCAGCTTTCTTATTCTATTTAATATTGAAAAATGATATAAACTCTCATCCTTTTTCACACAAAAGAAATCGCTCACCCTTAGATACAACTCTTATTTATTTTAAATTTGAATGTGGCAATTAAGTCTCTTTTTCATCTTATTTCAACCTAATCACTTGCTATCCATTAGCAATGGGCAATTTTTATTCTACTCTTCTCTTTTCGAACTTGTGTCTTAAGTTCTCTCATGTTTCTAAAGTTTTTTGACTATACCTATTCCTTTTGTGTAACTTGAACATAAATGGTGTTTTTGCCACTCTGTAGTAGACCAGTCTGCAGTAGATCTCGTTTCTTTACTAGCTAGCCCGTGGAAGGATTATCATGAACTTCCTGAAAGAAATATAATTGTTGTACTTTAACTTTTCTCTCTTGGATCCATCCTGAGAGCTGAAACCTATGGATTAAGTTAGAAATTTGTAAGGAAATTTACAATTTTTCTCATTTATTAAATTTTAGCTATCTCTCGCATAATTCCTTCTTATGACCAGATGAAATATCTTCCCATACTTTTGTTGGCTTCCCAATATTATTCAAGTTGGATCCTGTAGTCAAGAAAAAGAATCAAAGGATAATAAAATATTTTAGTTTTACTGTGTTTTGAAATTATATTTTCGTCTAATTGTGCTAAACAAACTTCAAACTACGAGTAACTGAGAGCTTCTTTTGAGCTGCATCAGCTTTCGTTAACCTAGCTATGTTGATGTTAGATAATATTATGCAGTTGGATTTAATGTACCCTAAATCACAGGTTGGTGTATGCCATGAAACACATTCTTCAAAAGTTTATAGAAGGAAAGAAACTTATTGTTCTTTTCTCACTATACGTTACTCATCTTAGTCCATGATCAACCAGCCTTTAAATATTGGTTCATTTTTTATTCTATGGTAATAACCACTTCCCATTTTCAATCCCCAACTGTACAGGTATTTCAGCTTATGTAATTGTTTGCTCTATTTGTTGTTCTAATGACAGAAGCTGCTATCTTTTCTTGACCAACTCTTCTGGAATCATCAGAGTCTGAGAGACTCTTGAAGACAAAGGCCACAAATTCATTTCAATCTCTTCTTACCTCGTATTATGATGTCCCAACAGGTACTACTCCCTTTCAACCTCTTTCTCTTTGGTATCATCTCTGTTAATTCTCACTCTTTTACTTTGTCGTTTTTTTTTGTTTTGTTTATTAATGTATTTCTCATAATCACTGATCATCTCACTTATCTTCAAAGTTCTGCTAACAAAATGTACGATTTTTTCTTCCCATGAATCATTTTCCTTTCTTTTTGGTTGACATGTCTGACTCCAAACGTTAATTGAAGTCAATATCGATATAATGTCTCAAGTTATTAACACTTTTTTTTCTGTCACTTCAGCCACAAAACAAACTTGCTTGCAGATCATGTCAATGGAAAAATTTGTTTCTTTTCCAAACATCATTGAATTAGGAGGTCATCATTTGGACTGCTTATCAGTGGCCTTATAGCCAACAATGATAAACACTTTATGCTGTTAATACAGAGGGTTGTAGGGAATTAGCCAAAAAAGCTTGACTGCTCAGAATAAATCTTGGCTCTTTTAAAAATCAGAGCAGGAAGCAGCCAATTATAAAAACAAACCTAAGCAATGTGTTTGTCTACTTCATAGCTGCCAAAGAAATGCACAACAGAAAGGATACAAAAGCATCAGTCTAAAAAAAAATGAGTTGAGTCAAAATGGAGATAAAAAGAAACAAACACAAGTAATATCCATTAAACCATTAACTTAATAAGCCTATGTGTAAAGGAGTGTATAACTGAACTATGAACTAAATCACCTAAAACAGAAGATCAAAACAAGGAAAACTTGAGATTGATAACATGGATAAAGGTGCAGTTTGTTTAATAACCAAAGCAAAAACATGGTATCTTAATACTACTTTATAATGTTCTTCAACCTAACTTGTGGTCTTAAGATTTATCACTGTGACGGGTGGTCCATGGGTTGATGCTCCTATTCATGAAGTTTAGCAGCATGGAGTATCCCTTTACAAACTCTGTGGTCTTGAACTATCTTTAATTCCTTTTGTGACAGAATCAATGCCTCGTGCTACTTCATTTCACAGTATTCTTCAAAGTTTCAATGGCCGAGGTGAGATTAATTCCAAATTCTCACTTTTTTTCTATCACCACATTATCCACATGTAATTTAGCTAAGAGTTCATGAGCTAAAACTTATCAGAGAATAACCATTCCTTTTTGAAGGACCACTAGCTTCTTTCCTTGTGGTATCTTTATTCCATTTGGCTAATGTATGTGGTAGTTGTTGATCTTTAGAAAACCTGAATAGCAATCCATCATAAGAATCACATGAGATTTCAGTAAGAAATGGTGGGTTACTAACTAGAATTGTATTGTTTCCAAATATAGTCCATGTGACCTATTAATTCTATCCATTATGGGAATCACATGAAAATTCAGTTAAGATCCTTCAGTTGTTGATTCTTAGAAAAACTGAACAGCAATCTATCATAGAAATCACAAGAGAATTCAGTGGGTATTGGTGGGTTACTAACTAGAATAGTAGTGTCTCCAAATATACAACCTATTAATTCTACATTATACATTTTTAATTATCTTTATAAAGCAGAATTATTGAATATTCTAAAAATGACATTTATTACATTTCAGTAGCTAATACCGAGTTAAATTATAACAAGGTTTTCAAAATAATTTTTACAAGTATCTACTGAAATTTTATATGAATATTTCATATTCAACTTCTTGCATTACATAATTGTAGAACTGCTCAACAATAATGTTCAAACTCACCAAAAGTACATGGGATTTTAACACAGCTGAGGTTGTCTTGAGAAGAATGATTAGTACATCGGCTTAAAAAAAATAGTTGTTTCCTGATTTCATTTTACCACGAAACTTTTCTAAATATACAGATTTTTATCTTTATCTTATTTCATGTCAAAAGCAAACCACTCCTCCTTGCTTGCTTTCCATATTCCATCTAGTTTACAAGGACGACAGTTTCCTTGCATCAATTTTAACATGCTAATCTCACAGAAATTGGTAGGTGCTCTGTCTGGTGACTTCACTTGTATGTGCTCATATGAAATAGCATGAATACTAATTTCATTCTCCTGCTACTTGATGTATGTGATGGTTGAAAGGGAGGTAATTATGTCACTGTAATTTCAGTGATATAGATAATGAGGTGAAGGTAACATGGTCACCTGTCCTTGAAAAATACTGCATTCAGTATGTAATGGAAGTTGCACTGTACTTAATTTTCAATGGGCAAGAGATAGATATAAAAACTTGGAAAAAATTTTAATTCATCCAAGAGGTGATTTCCTTAATTTGGTGTCTTGCTGAACAAGTCTGGTAAACATAAAGTCATATCAAACTTTAACATCATTTGGATAAACTTATGAGTGAATAAAAAGAAATAAAATCAATGTTACTGCACAAAGCAAAATACAGTATAAGCAGTTTCTCACATATACTAGTAACGAGACACATTTCAGGTATCTAAAAATAACTATTAAAAGAATAAACAAATCTTATTCTATGTTAAAGACTAATTTATTTGGATGATGCAAAGAATTTAAGAGTTGAAAAAGAGAGAGTGAGCAAAATGTGAATAATTTTACTGAAAACTAAGCAAACAAAATATACATCAAACTATATAAATGGAGAAAGTAATGACTATTCATGGCACATTTCAAAACACAAAAACAAAGTGGTTAATAGATCTAAAACTCCCGATATTTATGTGTACTCTCAGTCTAATAAATATTCTCCTCATTAGAGTTTTAAACTTAATTTTGCTTGTATTTAAAAATTAAAATGTGATACAGAATATAACAGGAAGTAATGAACCCTTCCTTGATCTGAAAAAAAAAACAGAGATTACATCCTGTTACTCAAGTAAATGTTTTTCTACTTTGAGATTCTGAGAAAAGAACAAGCCTGTTGAAGTTTCATTAATCGTAACTAAATCACCATTTCCCAACATGGCAATAAAGATGTTTAAACACAAAATTACAAACACAGTTATTAAAATATGGTCTGTGTTCAGACTTATCTAATTTATATTTAATGATGTAACTGCTGTAATCATATCCATTATAGAAAATATGTTAAGTTGTAAGTGCTTCTGTTTTATTTGTCTAGCAGTGCGTTGCTCTGTCAAAATAAAAACTTAAATGAACATGTGGTCAGGATTCACTAGTAGCGTGTTTCATAATCACCCAAAACCATTAAATTACTATTAATAAAATAATTATATAAACACAGATACACACATGTGAATGTAACATATTGTATTGTTTTTCTTAGGTGGGTGAAAACCTACACCTCATTATTTTGTTTTAAAAAATATGACATTAGCATGTAACAAAGCACTAGAAATGAAACTTTGAGAAGTTTTTGTTATTAAGCAAAAAACTATTCAATAAACTATCTGTACTGTGCTAACCACATGTATCAAAACCCAATTTTTAGCATTAAAAACCCTCAGACTTACTACTGAGACACTAGGAAGCCTGAGTCAAATAGATATTGAGTTTTGTGAAGTTATGTAATGAATGAAATCACTTACAAATAACAGCAGTTTTTATTTAATTACATATTATACACTGTACGATGAAGTGCAAAACATAAATAAGATAAACAGTAATGAAGAATAATACACACAATTAAGGCACAAACTGTTTTAAGCAATTAAAGAACCAGGTTTAATTTCAAAACACTAAAAACTGTTAAATATAAAGTTTGCTACATAAAGAAAAACTTGTATGTGCAAAAAAATGGGGAGTTTTAATTTTATTTCCAGTTTTAATAACTGAGCACTAAATTTGATTTGCTTCTTTCTTGCTACTTAGTGCATGAGAAAATCACAGAGCTGTCTATATTTCAAAGATACATTATAATCACTGCTATTTCATTACAAACAACATATTAACCACTTTCAAAATGTTCCCTACATGTTAAGTGTTCACATTAATGCCTGGAATGGAAGTGCTCACAGAACTCTCCATATTTTGATACACCAGGAAAACTAGGACAAAAAGTACTGAAAAAATAACCAATTTCACGAAAAGAGACACGGAAGTTTGTTGAGATGCTTTAGGTTGAAACTGATCAACATCATGTGAGTTCTTTAAGTGACCTGAGGAATAAATGCTGTCATCCAACCTGGGTAAATAAAATTTAGTTTCAAACATTAAGTCTGAAGTAATACAAAAAGATTAAACAAATTAATAATATACATAAAAAATAAGTATTAAATTAATAATATAGAAGCAGTCTATTTAAAACAGGGAAGATGTATGGTAATCTAATTCTAAAATAGATTTCAACAGTTGACATTAAACATGAATTTTTGTTTTCAGTTTTGATATATTGCACACTCTACTTGAAAGCTGTGTATTACTGTTCACCATTAGTGAAAATCTAGGCTAACATCATAGTACAATGTGTATTTTACTTGAAAACTGTGTACCATTATTGACTGTTAGCAAAAGTCTAGGATGTGGATCATTTAAGTAGGCTAACATAATAGTACAATGTGTATTTTACTTGAAAGTTGTATGCCATTATTGAGTGTTATTCAAAGTCTAAGGTGTGAATTAAGTAGGCTAACATCATAAAAAAGTCTGTATTCTACTTGAAAGCTACTTCCATTGTTGAAAGTCTATGATGTGAATTGTTAAATCCATAGTAGTGGTTATTTTTGTTTGATTTGTATCACAAGAAGTATCTTTACAAAATAATCTTGAAAGAAGGATGAATAAAGAAGAAATAAACCAACCACACACACACAAAACGAAATAACTTCATGGTATAAGCTTACAGTTAATGTCTTGCATTGCTCTTTTATCTCTGGAAGATATCCTAGTGACTTCATAGTACAAAGCAATCCTACAGATTTAAACCTAACAAAAGTTGTCCCTGTTCTTAAAGAACTGAAATAATGATTGCTTACAACATGGTAGGAGCTGTAACAAGCTCATTTTGTGAATGAAACAACTTCACACAATATCTTAACCATTGTTCTCAAAGAAAATCAATTAAGTTTCATAGTATTTAAGAAAAGAATAACTGATCTACAGTTTAAGATGTAAACATAATTGGTCTATAGTTTAGGGTGTAAACATAATTGGTCTATAGTTTAGAAGGTTAACAACTGATCTATAGTTTAGGATGTAAAAATAATTAGTCTGTAGTTTAGAAGGTTAACAACTGATCTATAGTTTAGGATATAAAAATAACTGGTCTAAAGTTTAGGATATAAAAATAATTGATCTATGGTTTAAGAGGTAAACATAATTGGTCTATAGTTTAGGGTGTAAACATAATTGGTCTATAGTTTAGAAGGTTAACAACTGATCTATAGTTTAGGGTGTAAACATAATTGGTCTATAGTTTAGAAGGTTAACAACTGATCTATAGTTTAGGATATAAAAATAATTGATCTATGGTTTAGGAGGTAAACATAATTGATCTTGTGACTTGATAACAGAACCAGCAACAGCTAGTAATGATTTTCAGGACTAAGATCAATTAATGTTCTACTTCATATCACTCACTCCATTACTAGTAATGATTTTCAGGCCTAAGATCAATTAATGTTCTACTTCATATCACTCACTATGTTGCTAGTAATGATTTTCAGGCCTAAGGTCAATTAGTGTTCTACTTCATATCACTCACGATGTACATAAATTTTCAATTATGGAGAAAGTACACTTTCTTCTTCTAGCCGAGGTAAGAAAAATAGATTACATAAACAATTGTTTATGTAAGGCCTATTTATTACACAGAAGACAAGCCAATAAAACACTGATATTTCATACATATAATATAAACTACCATTTGCACTACATAATTCAAAATATCATAAGATACAAGTTTCAAAGTCTGCATCACATCGTAATAGTTTTCACACACTACTAGATTACATACTTTTAAACTTTATATTTGGCTATCTACACTTTACACAATTTTACACTATTATTTCTCAAACTTTCAGATGATATATGTCAGTGCCAGATTACATTGACTGACACATGTATTTGTGAATTGACAATAGCTTCAGACTACACTTGACTATGGCATATGTTGTTGTTCAGACTATATATCCATATCAGACTACACCCGACTATGGCAGGTGTTGTTGTTCAGACTATATATCAGTATCAGACTACACCTGACTATGGCATATGTTGTTGTTCAGACTATATATCAGTATCAGACTACACCTGACTATGGCATATGTTGTTGTTCGGACTATATATCAGTATCAGACTACACCTGACTATGGCATATGTTGTTGTTTAGACTATACATCAATATCAGACTACACCTGTCTATGGCATATGTTGTTGTTTAGACTATATATCAGTATCAGACTACACTTGACTATGGCAGGTGTTGTTGTTCAGACTATACATCAATATCAGACTACACTTGACTATGGCATATGTTGTTGTTCAGACTATATATCCATATCAGACTACACCCGACTATGGCATGTGTTGTTGTTCAGACTAAATATCAGTATCAGACTACACTTGACTATGTGGCATGTTGTGTGAACCAAAAATAGAGTTTAGACTAACTACATCAACTCTGCAAATGCCCCATACACCAAGGGTATTATAACTTTCTACACCAGGTGTATAAAAACATGTAATGTAATCTTAAATCTGAACCCATTTTACAAAGTGGAAGTAATCTATTCATAGTTATTTACAGTTCATTATGTTACAATATAAAAAAGATATTTCCATGGCAATTTGCATTCTAAGTGATATGATGTCAGAGGAAATTATTGTAAGACTCTCCATCACAGTCGCACTGTAATTTTACAGTACTTATAATAACATAAATCAAAAGTGGAATAGTGTTAGTGATAAAAAAAAGGTTCAGGTTCACTTACCATTTTCTTAAACTGCAAATTTTTTAGTGTCAAAAATGGAGTGTTCTAGAAATTGTTTAACCTATAAATCTACCTAATGTCTCACCGAAGCTTGATATAATTTTTTTAGAAACATCCTGTAGAGCAAGCGGATGTCATATTTTTAACTTTCCCAATTTCAGTATAACTTGTCCTAAATACCCTCACTTTTTTGTTGTTGTATAATGATATAATTTCAAAGCTGTTATAAAACAACAAACTGTAAGATAATCAGTATAAAGACTAAAATATTCTTGTTTTTATTAATTTAAGTCAAAGAAACAATTACATACGTGTAGTTACACAACTATTTAAATAAGCAGTGAGAAAACAAACAGAAAGGCATTTCTAATGGTACTAATTGCATGTTTCAGAATTAGCAGAATGACAACATTTTGCATCATAAGTTAGTTGAGTAATTATATGTGAGCCTCAGAATAACCTTCCTATGAATTGGTGAGATTTAACAGTATTTAAACTGTGAATGGATAAATAATTATTTGTAATTAGCAGCAGTTTAGATTCACATCAGCAAGTAATGTTGATGCAACATACAGAGTTTTTATTATTTGAAGAATTCTTCAAAGAAAAAACTATTGAAGATAGTACATTTCTTCATTAATCATCATTAAATATAATGTATAATACAAAAATTATACATTCATGTTTATATATACGTAAAAACTAAAATGTTAAGCACACAGTTACATGATAAACACATCTGTAAACTGCTATGCTATTATGATTTGAAACAAGCATGATGTTATAGATATTTTCTTCTTAGACAGAAACATCATACCTTCTTAGTCCATATAGTGAACCACTCTGAAGATGCTCAGAACAAGGGCTGTGAGTTGATGCCAGCGGTCGTCTGCGTAGTTCATTAGTCCAATCTCTGGTTCTGGGAGAAAAAAAAAGAGAAGTACATGTACGACAGAATACCACTAGTGTGGGTTATATGTAACATTCAAAATTCTTTTGTGCATCTTGAATCATCTTAATTTAATTGGCAAAACTCTTTTAGTGAAAATACATTATTCTTTTAAAAACAACAAACAAACACTTTATATAATGAGCATCTTAACTTTTTTCTTACTGTTTAAATCCCTTAGTTGGTCTGAATCATATAAAGCTGTAGGTGAAGTAAGATAAAAAAAAACATCCAATTATGACTGCGGACAAGCCACAGCTATCCTCCTTTCCCCTTGTAAATCCTTCCTATACATCAGGAAGAAAGTATGAAATTTCCAAGGGAATGTACAGTAGACGTCCAGCTCAGTGTACCAACAGGACTGTTGTCCTAAAACTTTGATGAGCTTAAAAAACATTGTATAGACCTTTCCTATTGTCAGAAAAGTAAATCCAACTTTTAACATATCCAGTACCAAGGTAATGTAGAACCATCAGAAAAGTAAATCCAACTTTTAACATATTCAGTATCAAGGTAATGTAGAACCATCAGAAAAGTAAATCCAACTTTTAACATATCCAGTATCAAGGTAATGTAGAACCATCAGAAAAGTAAATCCAACTTTTAACATATCCAGTATCAAGGTAATGTAGAACCATCAGAAAAGTAAATCCAACTTTTAACATATCCAGTATCAAGGTAATGTAGAACCACCACAGAAAGAAATCCATCTTTTAACATATCCAGTATCAAGGTAATGTAGAGAACCACTACAGAAGAGAATACAACTGGTGTATTCTGTGTGTGTGTTTTATGAACTTATCTAGTTTTGACTGGTGTGAGAATGACACTTCAGATTCCCTATTGAGTACAAACCTAACAAATGTCTGATACATTTGACTGATAGTTCTTGTGCAAGGATTTAATAAAATAATAATTTGAAGAGTCCAATGTTTTTAAAATGCATAATCATTTATTGTATAAATTTAAAAGCAATAAAAAACTAAAAAATTATGTTTATTAACTGATAGGGATCTTAGCAAAGAGCATAAAATGTCAACACCAATCCAAGGCATGAAAGTCCATAAAATACAGGATAAATATGGAGTACGCTGCTTAAGGTCATCTTGAAAGATGTCTTTTCATTTTCAGTTCTAGTCTAGCTTTTAACAATAATTACATAAATGTTATTACTACCTTAAAACACGAAATACAGATTAGAATATTTCAAATTACACACCACAAATAGTACTGCTTTTTAGTTTTCAACTTTTCACACTGTTTTCTATGGAACTATTCATATGTATGAAATTCTACAACAAACGTTAGTATTTAAAAAGTACAATACAGACCTACAGTTCTTTGAAATCTACAGGTAACTACTGAATATCATTCCTTTATCCTAGATGAACAATTTATATGATGTAGTAAATTAAAGTGAAGCACAGTAAATGACAAAAAATGATTATTTTGAGTACACATAAATAAATTTGTGAATAATATATACATATTTTTATATTGACAACCAAAGATTTCAGTATTCATAATCTTTGGAACTTTTATTCAAAGAAACCAGTTGTTGGACAAAATGTGGGATTATTGTAATCTGTTTTGTATCGATGCAGCAGAAACAAGTAACTGGCCAAAAGATGGGGAAACACTGGTTGATCAAATTTAACATGTAAGTAATAACATAAAAAAAATATTTTATTAGGAAATTTATTACAATTGGAAGAAAGATTCAACATATAGAATGTCATAATTTATTCATATATTTTATGATATTTTCCTTCTTAGGTCCCGTTTTCACATCACAGTAAAATAAAAATAACCGTCAATATACCTGCTTGGTGAATTTTTGCAAGTGGAATAGGAATCAATAAAAAAAATGTACTTGTAAGATCTTCAATATCATGAGATACTACCACTGTAATTTACACTAGTTATCTTTGTAAATCACGTTACAAAAAATAGTTCAATGTCTAGTTTTGGACAGCTTACATATGAAGGTTTAGAAAGGCTTATAGCAGCATGAAACTAATTTAGATTTTGCTCCTTATCTCTAGAAAACCTGACAAAATGGATGGAAAATAATATTAGTAATAACATAAATTTATTCAGGCTACACACACACACACGTGTGAGGTTATATATGAAGTATTAACAAACAGTTAAATCATATATAAATCAACCACTCCATAAACATGTGTGTAAAAAAGGTTAAATAAGTTACTAAGGCTTGTACTATCTACCGATAAACCATCATATCCATCAACAGCTACCATTAACTTATATGTATATGTAAATTTTAAATATCAGTAGTTCACCTGATGATAAACTTGCAATAAACAAAAAACAACATTTAACTCTTAAATTACCTTAGTTATTACAACTTAAGAAGTTCTTTATCCTAAACACACACACACTCTCTACTAGTATAAACAATTATGTAACCTACCCACACTTCAGGTATAAAACATTTGCTACATGTAGTCGTGGCAGCAGAAGTAAAAAAAAAAGTTAAAAGTCTAGTGTATTACTTTTGTTTACATTCACGTGGAGTTCATATTGTAAAAGATTGAAATTACTACATAAATAGTGAGTATATCTACTACCAATGATTTGTTTTGTTTGTTTTGGATTTCTTACAAAGCTACACGAGGGCTATCTGCGCTAGCTGTCCCTAATCTGGCAGTGTAAGACTACAGGGAAGGCAGCTAGTCATCACCACCCATCGCCAACTCTTGGGCTACTCTTTTACCAACGAATAGTGGGATTGACCATCACATTATAACACCCCCCACGGCTGAAATGGCGAGCATATTTGGTGGGACGGGGAATCGAACCTGCAACCCGCAAATTACGAATCGAGTGCCCTAACCACCTGACCATGCCGGGCCACTACCAATGAAGTGATTTCCACTGGGCTTCACAAGTTTACATGTTACAAAAATATTGATGTTATATAATTCAATAAAAACCAAAACACTGGTTTGCATATTATATCATGTAGGGATCCTTACAGTAATGAGATTCCCCAAACCCTCGGATTTATAGAAGAAAATTCTAGGATTTTCAAGATTAACTCTTACCTGGACTGAATGATATCCCCCAATTTTGTTTTCTTTTTACAGTGGCAATACTTAACCAAATTGTATGAAAACTTTTAATCAACACAGTTTCTTTATTAAACTTCATAAGAAAGTTAACAGAAAGCTATCTGTACGATGTTTAATTATTTACACACTGGATATTCTATGGCTCTTCTTGCTGAATGATGGCGATGCAGTCAGGCACACAAGTATACAAAGGAGATCCAATTCAAGCATTCATAAGGTAACAGTTTTAATAACAAAGCTATTTGCGTAAATGTTTGAAGTTTTACCAATCTCTCGTGTTTGCATTATTTTTTAATCATGCTAAGGATTGCAGATAATCTAATTACTTTTGATTAAGACAAAACTGAACATAAGTAAAAGATTTAGAATCCCACGTTTTAGTCCACTAAAATTCCCAAATCTCAGGATTCAGAAAAAGCATCAGAATTGCAATCACAAAAACTAAGATTTTTAACATTGAATATAGTAAATATATATTGATCATGTTTCAGTTTTCTTTCAACATGGTTATACTCCACTTATCAGAATAATACCTATAACAAAACAGGCTAACAACTTCCCTTCAAAAATCAGTAGTTTACAAAACTAAACCCTTATAACAATAATACCTATAACAAAACAGGCTAGCAGTCTCCTTTCAAAAGTCAGTAATTTACAAAACTAAACCCTTATAACAATAATACCTATAACAAAAAGGCTAGCAGTCTCCCTTCAAAAGTAAGTAGTTTACAAAAATAAACCCTTATAACATTTGAGACATTTAACTTACTATAACCAATAATTTCATTTAATGAAACTATTAAATCTTTATATCAATGAAGTAAGCCATTATGCATCTGTGTAAAAACAAATTATTTTACTAAAGTGTTGGAAAATGAAAACATTAATTCACTGTATAAAATTGTATTGACCTAAAGATGACTGTACTGCAATATAATAGGAATAAGACAGGATACACTACATAATAGTAAGTTCTTAGGATTAAGCCATGCTGTGAATAAAGCAAAATCAGCCTCATGCACCTGCGATAGGATCAAACTGAGTTATATTTAAGTATTATGAACAAAATATTTATTATGGTAAATATTTTAAGGAAGTTGTTCTACTTATAAATGTGAAATTATGCATAAGTTTTTATTCAAACTAGAAAAAACTGCTGGGAAAATTTGTTTATAATTGTGAATTCTCTAGTAAGCATGCAACCTATAAAAAACTTTTTGCCAAAAAAATATAAAAATGAAATAAGATACCACACACATCGTACACAGAAACTTTAATAATACAGTATTTATCTCTATACCTATCACACACAACAGGAGATTGGGAATTTTGCTGCTGTTCCTCATCTGTATTCTCTTCAGACCTTTCCTCCTGATCTTTATTTTGGAGAAGATGAGCAAGCTTTCTTTGATAAACAGCTCTGGTTGAATCTAAAGATAATAAAGGTTGAATGGGTTAACATGTATTTGCAGAGAACATTTGAAAAACATTAACTTATTCTTAAATATAGGAAAATCGCAAGCAGCTAACTCTGCAAAATGTTCCTTCAACTACGACGTAATGTGTTAATTATTGAACTGAGACAAAGTAGACCAATAATTTTTATATTTCTGTAAACCAAATGGAAAATAATGCAAATGTACAACTTTTATTTTTCATTTTACTTATTACAGTTAAGATTTTCCTTACCTGAAAATGTATTTCCAATAGCTCTTTCCATTACCTCTTCACACAGTTTAACTATCTTCCCCATGCAATCTGTCTTAAAGACTTGCAGGCCACTAACCTTCAGTGAACTCTCACCTTATCTCTCAAGAATTACACCAATAGAAGTGCAACACGATTCCATGCGCAATAACTCTTCCTATGCATTTGCACTCTATAACTTCATTCTTTGAGGAGACAAGAAATGCAAAGGTGCACTGAAAGTGGAAGGAGGAAGAGTGGGAATGGGTGTGAAAAGGTTAATATCTATTGGAAATACATTTTTAGGTAAAGAAAATGTTACCTTCTGAAATGATACCACACCTCTTCACACAGTTTAGCTAAAATCTCATGTTGAAGTGAGGGAAGGGCCAGTGCAAAGTCTTACCAAGATGAGCTCCCTTTAGAAAGCACCAAAAGGAAATCCATAGAGTGTGACACCTGATGACAGGAGTTCCATAGGAGCACACCCATGAAAAACCACATATCATTTTGTCCAAGTTATACTCTTCATCTGGGAATAAAGGGAGGAGGAGGAGGCCAACAAGCCCAACGTGTCATAAAGATGGATAGAATAAGAACATGGCCGTCCAAGTACTTGCACACAAGAGGTCAGAAAGTCAATATGTGTAGCATGTTTGGGATGCACTCACACCATAAATTGTGTGCTCACCTCAATTTTACCATCAAACTATTGGATTGAAACCAGCTGCAGGATGAGTGCACAGTAGTCACGCTATAGAGATTGGTGTAGTGTGTGTGGACCCCTCCACTCAACTGAACAGATATTGGCCACAGGAGGAGGATACGGTATGTTAGTGCATGCTCACCTCAACTCTACTGATTAGACAAGAATGCAGGAGGAGGGCACAATATCACAGTGCATGCTTGCCTAAACTCTACCGAAGACTTGCAGGAGGAGGACACTTGATTAAATGTGTGTTCATTACAACTCTACAGGCACAGGCTGCAGGATGAAGGCACAAGTGACATGTGGTATATATAAATGGAGTCTGGCTCAATGGCTAGTGAATCAGACATGTCCAAAACATGAAAGTGGAGGGAAAAAATCCTTTGGTGGAACAGTGATGTATGAGGCTGATGCAAGAGAGAAGGTATTGTGGGCAGAGGAAGAGGGGGATTAGAAAAGGGAACCAAGGTTGTGATGGTCAAAGAGGCACCAAAAAGAGGACACAACAAAGAGTGTTGCAAATCAAGGCAAGGACATGACGTAAAAATCAGAGAGATGGATAGGCATAAAGAAGAAGATAAGATCAGTCATGACTGAAAACAACAACAGCAAGGGCCAAGAGATGGGGAACTGGAGGCCAGAAGAGAGGAAGCTTAGAGTTGAGAGGGATGGTGTGCCAAACCAAGAGCATACCCAATGGAAAACCTGAAGCTGAAAAGACAATTCCATGGACAAAATATGGTTCAGCTGAGAGAGGCAGCCTGCAACAAGGTTCATAGCATCAGGCATGTGACGAGTGATGAAATGAACCCATTAAGAATTGGCCCAATAAAGAAGGTTCAGGGGTTGAAAGCAAAGGGTCTTAGATCAGGTACCCCCTTGGCAGTTGATATAGGAAACAACTGTGGAATTTTTGGAAAGGATTGTAACTAATATGATTTACTAGGGGGATAAGAAATGGAAACATGCCAAACAGACCACCAGAAGTTCAAGCATGTTGATATGGAGAAAGCATTCATTCTGGGTCCAAGTGCTAGATGTGAAATTGCCATTCATAGATGCTCCCCAACAACCAGATAGGGAAGCATTGGTGAAGAGGTGAAAGTTTGGTCTGGGTGGAGGTAATGGAACACTTGCAGTGTCATTTGATCGATCAAATCACCAAGTCAGATTCTCAAGTACAGGAGGAGACAGGTGAACCACTGAGGTCAATGGATCCCACGAGTGGTTCCACTTGTCACTCAAGGATCACTGGAGGAGGTGCATATGAACTCAACCCAATGGGATAAGCAGTTCCAGTGAAGGTATGGTCCAGAATAGAAGCAAGCTCTCATGCACTATGAGTAGGAGAGGCATGAATATATGTAACCAAAAGTTCC